GAGAATCTGCCCCAAGATTTTGCCGGGCACAAATATACCAGCTGTATGCTTGCACTCACTAGTAGGCAAGGACTGGAACTAGAAACCACTTCTCTTCTTTGGTAAGAAACTAACCACATTTGTGATATCACCTCACAAGCTGATTTTAATGTTGTGCCTCATTTGTACCCACTAAGGCAAAGCTATCCATATAAAAGAGTGTGGACTAGCTCCTATCCTTACAGATCAAGGAAAAATCTCAAGTTCCATTTAATTGCTTTAACTGTGCTATGGTGATCCTCTCTCCAAACAGGTCTCACCTTCCAAAAACTTGCGAAGCATTGAATCTTTTGTAGTTAGAGAAACATCATCTCCATCAACTGGAGTTTCTGGTTTGGACTGAAGCATTTCTACATCTGAAAAAGAATCAGAAAGATGAACCTGTTGATTATGCCTTTAAACATATGGAATAATATAACATAACATAATGAAATTATGTGATATTTCTGACCGGATGTTTGGTTTATGGTGAAAATCAAAGCGGAATCCAGGCAACTGACCAGACATTTGCCTCAAAAAAGGCTCCTAAGTTGCTTTGTTCAGCCAACTCTGCACAAATCTTTGCCAGCTGCCTTATATTTATGCTTGAAGGTGACTAACATTCCTTACTGAGACATTCTGACAAGGCTACAAGCAGGCACTGAGGATTAGCTATTATTGAGAGTGTGTTGGCTAGGTGAAGGTTTTGTCCTCTGCACAGAGCTCCTGAGAGGGCAAACTGAGTGGAAACTCTGTGACTTGGCAAAACAGGACCTTAAGGGCAATTTGTCCATGACACAGAAGATAGTATAGTATTTGTTTAGTTTATTGGATAAAAGTCAAAACAACTGGCTGAGATAATTAGTTGGACTGGAAAGTGTACAGAGGGTCAGATGATAATTTAGTACAGAGAAAGCAGTGACAGTGAACCATAAGATATTCTGTTAATTCAGTGTTTTTTACATGAAGAATTCTGATTCTTTAAAAAAAAAAAAAAAAAAAAAAGGCAACTTCATTTTAACGCTAAGACTAATCCTAAAACTAAAATAAAATGTTAGGTAACCATGCTCCTAATGATATTAAAACCAAGAGTGATATAAATCAATTTTTGAGGCTTATTATTGTGAATTGTTGAGGCATATTGTGAAATATCTATTATGTAAACTAGATGGTTTGGGTTACATAAGAGAATATGAAATATTTCTCTATAAATGTAATTTTAATATCTGCTGCCCTTTCTTGGTTTTCTCCTGAAAAGCTGAGGAGATTTTGAGAGAGGGATAAGAATATACTAGCAAGATTTTGCTTTGTTAGAATGTTGTGGAGGCTTTTAAATAATTGTCAAAGGACCCACTGACAGTCATGTGAATGTATCCAACCTAGCTTTAACCTCACAGGAATACCTCCAGCATAGCCACAGCAATGCTGCATGCTGTGTGGACTAACCACACTAGCAGTTTCTCAAGAGCTCTGCAGTCCATGCCGAGCTGCATGCTGCTGGAGCTAATTGTGCATCACTTACCTAATATAAAGGTCACTTAAGTTTCACTGCATTGCTACATGGAAGCACAGATTTGACATTTGAGCATCCTGAAGTATCAGCCCTACAGACCTGTATTTTTCTGTAGAGCGATTTTTCCACCTTGCAGCCACCTCAATTACTTTTAACATAGCTTTTAGAAATGAGCCTCTAGCAAATACAGGCCTAGAGGAAAGCGACCACTTTATGGACTTGGGGGCAGAAAGGGATGTGAGAGGTGTGCAAAGTTCCCTTCATCCTCTGTGGAGGCAACAGTAGTTTCCCAGCTTCAGCTGTTCTCTTCAGGATTACTAAACCTAAAAGCAGTGCAGCAACAGGATACTGCAGGGGTTGTTTTCTATCACATAGTCAACATAGTTATATTAATCAACTAGTTAGTTCTCCTTCGAAGACATGGTTACCACCTCTTGCACATAGGCCTGTCTAGCATGCAGATGAGACTAACATCTCACCCATGTACCAAAACTGAAAACGAGTTTTAGACTTCACCTATGACACCTTCTGATCCACTTGCTGCAAAAACAGGCTAGTGAGATGAAAGTGACAAGAAGGTGGCGCACACAAACTTGAGTATAATGGCAAAGGTCCCCAGATTTTCCTGAGGCTATTGGGGAAAGCTGGTCTGAAGGTTTAGCGGGAAGAGGGTTAAGTAGTTCCTAGATGTCAGAATTTAGTAGCTAAAAGATATTTATTCAAAGAGTTTTAAGTTTCCCTTTGCAGGGTTTAAGGCTTCAGAAGGGACCAAAGAGAGAGACACACAGAAGACAAGTTATGACCTATAGACCCTTCACAACAGCTAAGATATCCACGCATAGGCACTCTTTAGAAAGCATTAACACCCTTCCCTCTAAACATTTGCAAACTCTTGATGTATTTGTGCACATGAAGCAAGCTACCTCTTTATAGAGACCAGTCCTTTATTATGCAAGATGAAGGCTCCAATGTGTTGGCATAAATTACAACTCATATTTTATAAGCAGTTATATTTTTGTGCATAATTCTCTCAGTTTGCTCAAGAATAAGGAGATTGCTGTTTTGTGCATTATGTAAATAAAAAATAAAAATCAATAAGGGCAGTGTTGAAAGCTCGGTCACAAGAGAATAAAAATGGTGGAGGATGGAGAGGATATACAAGAGAGTAGAGTAAGGGCATCACAACTTATACGTGAACTAACATACATTCTTTAAGTGCTGGAGGTCTGCAAATTACAGGACAATAGATTTCAGTCAGCTGAAACTCTCTAGGATAAAGGATTAAATCTCTGCATGAAAGTCTCACTATCCAGGGTCTGCTTGTCCCCGCAGCTCACAGATACAGACACAGCACTAAGAAGCCAGGTTTGTTTCCACCAGCCCTTAGCCACTCCCACTGTCTGACCTTGGACAGAGGAAATACAGCCTAACTCTTTC